GCCCCCCGCCCCGTCCTGCAGCCCCCCCACCTTCAGCTCCGCCAGCTGCTGCTGCACCATGTCCAGGTCCCCGCCGACCAGGAACTCCTCCGCCATGCGCAGCTCGGCCGTGTCCAGCCACTCGAACACCCGCTGGGCACCGACAGTGACCTGGGCTCAGGGAGGGCCTGGGGACCCCCACCCTGTCCCCATTCCCATCCCCATGAGGTCCCCACATGCTGGATACCTCACCCCTGCCAGGACCACCATGTCCCTGGGGTCACCGCTGATCTCTGCAGCCCCATGGCCTGGAGCAGGGCTGGGACCCACCGTGGTACCCAGGGAGGGTCAGAGGGTGCCCCATTCCCATCCCCACCGAGGGGGCAGGTCACAGGCATGGCTGGCCCCCTGTGCCTTGCCCCACTGTTCCCCAGTCCCATTTCCCCCCTCCCCAGCCCAGTCAGCCCCCCACCCAAGGCACCACCTCGACCCTATAAGCCCAGCTGGCCCCACGCCCCCATAGTCCTGCCCATCCAGCCCCACTGCCAGGTCCTGGACCACCATAGTGGCCCCATGGCCACCTGAGTGAGGATAGTAGGGTGACACGGGTGGGGGTCAGGCTCCTATGGGGAGGTTCCTTCCCCCAGGGGCCACCCCAGCTGCCCACCTGCATGGTCTCCTGGTAGCTGAGGGCGGCCTGGAGCTGCTCCTGGAGGCGGCCGTACCGCTCCGTCCACACCTTGTTCAGGCTGTGCCAGGAGCAGTAGAGCTGCGGCCGGACGGGGGGTCAGCGGGGACACTGGTGTCCCTTCTGCAGGGACACCAGACTCCCTTCTGTGGGGACACTGGCACGGCCACCCACACCAGGACACCCTGGGGAACCCCATCCCTTCTGCGAGGACACCAGCCCCTTCTGCAGGGACACCAGACTCCCTTCTGTGGGGACACTGGCACGGCCACCCACAACAGGACACCCCGGGACCCCATCCCTTCTGCGAGGACACCAGCCTGGCACGGCCACCTGCACCAGGACACCCTGGGGACACCCGTCCCTCCGCAGGGTCCTGTGGCAGCTCAGCCCCGGGGACCCCCCAGGCCCCCCCAAACCCCTGCCCAGTGGCACTCACATCGTCCAGGCTCTTGGTGACATCAGGCTTGTCGGGGTCCCCGCAGGAGGACATGAGCTCCACGCCCAGGCTGCCCAGCGTGTCCAGCTCGCCCTGCAGCGCGTCGATCTCCTCCCGCAGCGCCTGCGGCAACGCACGGGGATCGGCCCTGACCCTGCTGTGGGGCCGGCTGGGCTATGGGGCTGCCATTCTATGGGGTTGCCTGTGTTGTGGGGCTGCCCAAGCCATGGGGTGGTCCATGCTAGGGGGCTGCCTGTGCCATGGGGCTGCCTCTCCTATGGGGCTGCCTGTTCCCTGGCACTGCCCATTCCGTGGTGCTGTGTGCTGTGGGGCTGCCCCCTGCGCCCCTCCCCAGGGGGTACCTGCATGGTGCGGAGCCGGGCGCGGATGGCCTCGGGGTCCCCGCCGGCCTCCTCCAGCCCCAGGACCAGCTGCTGGGTGTCGCTGAGGGTCAGGGCCAGCTCGGCCAGGCCGGGCCAGAAGCGGTCGGCCAGGGCCAGCAGCTCCCGCAGCCACCGCTCCTGCTCCTGGCAGCGCCCGCGCAGCTCGCCCCAGCGGGACACCAGCTCCGCCGTCCCCTCCTGGATCCCTGTGGGGCGGGAAGGGAGGGGGCTCAGCCTGGGGCTCCCCAAATGGGGACGCTTCCCCCCCGGGGACGCGCTGCCGTGGGTCGGTGGGTCCGTCTCTGCCCCACGGCGGGGGTACCTCTGGCGGCGGCGTGGGAGTTGGCCTCCTGCATGCTGGCCAGCAGCTCGCTGCCCTGCGCCCGCACCGTCTCCAGGGCCACCCCCAGCTTCTCCAGCTCGCCCAGGGCCAGCCCGTTCTCCCGGATCTGCTCCCGCAGGTGGGCCGCGTCCCCCCGCAGGGCGGGCTGGCCCTGCACCCGGCTCTGCAGCCGCTCCAGGCACTCCCGCAGCAGCTCCATGCGCTCCGTCAGCTGCGGGGACACGGGCACGCTCACTCCGTGGGGAGCCCCAGGGGGACACCGGGACGGTGACATGATGGGGAGCCCCTGGGGACACCACCATGGTGACAAGATGGGGAGTCCCCGGGGGACACTGGCATGGTCACTCCATGGGGAGCACCCAGGGGACACCATCATGGTCATTCCATGGGGAGCCCCCAGGGACACCACCATGGTGACACGATGGGGAGTCCCCAGGGGACACCGGCACAGTGACCTGATGGGGACCCCGGGGGACACTGCCACAGTCATTCCATGGAGAGCCCCCGGGGCCACTGCCTCGGTGACGTGATGGAGATCCCCTGGGGACACTGGCACGCTGACTCCGTGGGGAGCCCCTGGGGGACACCAGCACAGTGACCTGATGGGGAGCCCCTGGGGACACCGGCCCCCCGGAGCAGTGTCCATACCTGGCTGTATCTCGGCAGAGCATCCTCCAGCAGAGCCGCCGCCTGCCGCAGGCGCTGGCGCACGCGGCCGTACCGCTCCTCCGCCTCCCGCCAGCGCTGCCGGAACGGGGCGCCCTGCTCCGGGCTCAGCTCCTCCAGCTGTGCCGAGACGCGCTGCAGCTTCCCCATCAGCGGCCGGTGCTCAGCGATGGCCTCCCGCAGGCACTGCGGGACGGGGGGGTGGGGATGTCACCCGCTGCACCCCAGTGCTGCCACCAGGCTCACCCCCATCCTCACCAGGGCTCCGCTCACGATGGACGGTGCCTGCACCCCGCGGGTACCGCACCGGTGCCCCCTCCATCCCCTCTGTCACCATCTCTCCATTCCTGACCCCGCACACGAGCTTCACTCATGATGGATGACACCCGCATCCCTTGGGTACCCCACTGGTGCCCCCTCCATCCCATCCATCCCCATCTCTCTGCTCCCAACCCCTCCCCTTCCCCTTCTTCCCCCCGCCCTCACCTGCAGCAGCGCCTGTTGCTCCTTGAAGGCCTCGTAGCTGATGGCCTCGGGGGAAAGCTGCTCCCCGAGGAGCTGGGTCTCCTCCAGCCAGGGCGAGAGCTCCTGGAGGGCCTCGGCGAACTGGGCCAGCAGGGACTGGGCGTGCTCCAGCTGGACGGCGCAGGCCCCGCTGCGCAGGAAGAGCTGCTCCGTGCGCTCCCGCAGCGCCTGCACCGAGGGCTGGGGGGACGGGGGGCTCAGTGCGGTGCCGGGGACACGGGACCGGTGGTGGCATCATCCCACCCAGCCCCAGCAGGCACCATGGGGGTGCCATGGGGGTGCTGGGGGGTGCTGGACTCACCTGGAGGCGCAGGCGCAGGGGCTCGGGGCAGGAGAGGAGCAGGGGGTCGGAGACCCCCAGCAGCCGCTCAGCCAGCCCCCGGTGGTGCAGGATCTCGGCTGAGAGGAGCTGGAAGAGAGGGGCGTGTGGGCGCCCGGTCCGGCGGAGAGGGCAGCGGGTCCGTGCGACTTGGGGAGGGGTCAGGTGCCCAGCGGAGCGGGGGACATGGAATGGGGTCCCTGGGGATGTCCCGGCGCCCCTTTGGGGTGGGGGTACCGGCCCGGACCCACCTTCTGGTCGGAGAGCTGGGAGCACAGGGCCTGGGCGTCCAGCTGCACGTGGCCGATCTCCTCCAGCCGCTGGCCCAGCCCGGCCAAGTGGGCAAGTTGGGAGTCCAGGATCTGCTCGAACTGCGGGGGCAGAGGAGAGCCCTCAGGGGGGACAGACCCCAGTGCCTCCACCACGGGACCCCCTGCCATGACCTGGCGCGTCCCCTCCAGCCGCGTCCCCCCGTGACGCCGGGGAGCGGTGAAGGGGGCAGAGGGTGAGGGTCCCCAGACCCTGCATTCCACACCTTCTCCCTGTCGCTGTCGCTGACGGGGGGCTCCTGGTGGCCGGGCTGGCTGTCCCAGGAGGCCAGCTCCTTCTCCATGCGTCCCAGCCACAGCGCCAGGTCCTCCTGGCCCGTGCCCAGGCGGGAGGAGGCCTCCAGGGTCTGTCCCAGCCGGTGCATGGTGTCGGCGCTGCTCTGCCCCACGATCAGGTACCGCATCCGCAGGGACTCCATCTTCTCCTGCGCCAGCTGGGCCTCCTCCCCTGCGGCGGCACCGCGGCCAGTGTCAGCGCTGCCGTGGCCAGTGTCCTCGGGGCCGGTGACAGTCCCTCTGTCCCCACCGCCCCCTGTGTCCTCCCCTCCTCTGCCTCTCCTGGACCTGTCTCCAGCCCCTTGTCCCTGCCGGAGCCAAAACTCAGCTCCCTGGCCACCCCTGGCTGCTGGTGTGCCTCGTCCCACCGTGCCCTGACCCCCCAGCCCCTCTCCATCCCCACTGCGACACCGCGCTCCTGCAGCCGCTGCCATCCCCCAGTGCCCCAAGGATGCCCAATGCCCGCGGTGCCCCCGGTGCTGGCATGTCCCGGGCTCTCCGCTCCCTCCCTGCCGCCTCCGGCCACCCCCAGCCAAGGCCACTCGCCTGTCACCATCTCCAGCACCCGCTGCCCGCTCTCCAGGGTGACGTCCAGCTCTCCCAGCCGCCCGCGGATCTCCTCGCACAGGGCCTGGGGGAGAGGCTGCGGTGACACCGCGCTCCCCGTCCCCACTGCCACCCCCAGCCCTCCCCCTGGCACCCGCGGTGGCTGCCGGTGCCCACCCTGAGCCCTGACCTGGGTTTGCCGGTGGGCGTCCTGCAGGTGGGCGACGCAGCCGTTGGCGTGCCACAGCTGGGCCAGCTGCCGCTCGGTGGCTCCCAGCCACTCCTGGAAGGAGTCCACCGCCTCCTGGAAGCCCTGCGCCGCCGGCAGGATGCGCTCCAGGCGGCCGTACCTGCGCCGGGATGGACGGCTGAGCCGGGGGGGAGCTGGGGAAGCCGCCTGTCCCCCTGCCACCAGGGCCAGGTGGCCAATTCCCAGGTCTGGGGTCCCTCTGTCCCCCACCCCAAACCTTCCCACCCCGGGTCCGAGGGGTGCGGTGAGGCCGGCACCCCCCACCAGCCCGGCCAGCGCTGGGAGCACCCCCAGGAGAGACCGAGGGTCCCGCTTCATCCCGGTGAGAGCTAGGGACACGGGGACGCAGGACAAGGTGGCCCCCACCCCGCTCTGTGACCCCACCCATCGGCTGCCCATCCCCCGCTGGGCAGGACCCCCCCCCGGCATCACCCCCCTGGTGATGGCAGCCGGCAGAGCCCCAGCGAGGCTGCGGGGACTGGCCCTGCACCCCAGAGGGCTGCAGGAGGGGGGTCTGGGGGCACGGTGACACCCTGGCACAGGGGACGGGGACGGTGCCTCTGCCAGGGCAGCCCCAGGGTGAGCTGGGGGGGGGTCACGGCTCCGCAGCCACTGCTGGCAGAGTCTGTGCAGCGGAAAACAGAGCTGCCGACCCCAAAATCTTGTCCCCGACCCACCTGGCTTCAGCCTCCTGCACCAGCCGCCCCCACTTCTCCCCGAGGCTGGGGAGGGGGCCGCAGCCCGGCACCGGGGACTCGGGTCGCTCCTGCAGGACCAGCTCCACCCGCGGCCTCCGCTCCTCCAGCAGCCGCTTCAGGAGCTGCAAAACGGGGGGGACACGGCGCTGTGATGGGGACCCGCTCCCTCCCGTGCCCCCCAGCACCCCCTGGTACCCCCTGATACGGCACGGCATGGCACTCCCTGGCACCTCCTGGCACGGCACAGCACCCCCCAGCACGGCTGCTCTGCCCCCAGCCCCCTAATCCCGGCGTGGGTGGATGCACTGACCTTCTGCTCCTCCAGCTGTGCCTTGGCCACCTTCGCCTCCCCCGAGGGCGGCTTCTGGTTGCCCACCAGCTCCTCCATGTCGGCCACCCAGGCCAGCAGGCTCTCCAGCGTGTCCTGGCCTCGCTCCGTGCTCCCCGACGCCGCCTCCTCGGGGACGGGGACAGCCCGCAGGGACACCTGGGGGAGAGAGGGGCCGTGGGGCAGCCGTGGGGCGGCCGTGGGGCTGGGGTGCAACCCTCATGCCCCATCCGGGAGGCTCTGCCGGGGATGGAGGGACATGGCTCTGCCCAGGTCGTCCCCCGCGTCCCCCCAGCTCGCCCCATCGGAGGGGATGGGGTCTGCACCCAGTGCTGCTCCTCCTCGGGGAGGAAGCTCGGGGGGCTGCCGGTGAGGGTCCCCACAGCACCCTGCGGACTCCTCCGGACCCCCAGCACCTGTGGGGCTGTGTGGGGCACAGACCCCGGTGGGCGGTGGGGGCACAGGAGGATGGAGAGCACCGGTGCCGGCAGAGCAGCCCCGTGGGGGCCGGTACGGCGGTGACACCGCGTGGGGGGGGTCCCTGCCGGCGTGTCACCTCTGGGGGGTCCGTGTGTGCCAGCTCCCCCGCGCGCTCCCGCAGCACCGTCACCGTGCGGGTGACCAGGGCCTCGCCGCCCCTCTCTCCGGCCGGGTACTCCGTCACCTCCACGATCTCCGTCACGATGGTCTCCGTCACCTCCGTCACCTCCGTCACCTCCCGGGTGGTGAGGGGCTTCCAGGACCAGGCGGCGCGGGGGGCGCCGGCGCGGGGGGGGGTCCAGGCCGCGCCCCCCGCCTGCCCCTTGAGGGGGAGGCAGGCGGTGCCCCCGTTCTGCACCGCCACCTCCGACTGGCTGCGTTTCAGCGCGGGGCTGCCCCGCCGCCACCGCACCGCGCCGCCCGACGGGCTCCAGCCGTTCTCCCCCGG